AGTTAGGTTTAGGGTTAGGTTTAGGGTTAGGGTTAGGGTTAGGATTAGGGTTATGTTACAGCGCGCTTCTGTCGGCGCGCTTTTGTCGGTGCGCTTTTGTCAGCGCGCTTTAGGGCTAATTAGTAGCTCATTCGTCGCACGGTTTTGTCACCGCGCTTTAGACACCGCGGTTTAGTCAGGCATGCTTTTGTTGTGCGCGCATTTGTGGTGGAACCACTCAACACGGGGAAAGTGTTATACTAATATCAAAGAAATAGTCAAATAGGATCATTAAAGAAAGGATGCCATAGAAGAGACAAAATGTGAATGACAAAAATTAAAAATATTTTTAAAAAATATTTTAAATCAGGGGTGTCAAGCTCAAGGCCTGTGGGCCAGATCCGCCCACAGGGTGCTTAGATCTGGCCCGTGGGACCACCCTGGAAACTGTGAAGGACCAGCCCATGGTGACTCTGACAGCAAAAAGGGAGCTCGGGAGGGCAGCCTGCAGCTCTACCGAGCTTTGTTTTCGCTGGCAGAGGGTTGCAGGAAGCCGTCACAGCTGAAAATGGAACTCGGGAAGCCATTTTCGCTGGCAGAGCACTTGAGCCCCCGACAAGAGTGACGTTGAGCCTTCTCAATGCCATTCACACCAAATTTTTTAAAACTTTCATTATGTTTCCCTTCAGCATGATTGGATTTTGTCATGTTTCCCTTCTGCATGAAGGGAAAGATGAGATATAAATAAAAACATTAGAACAGCTTTTGCATATATTACCAGAGTTCAGAAGTGGAGAATGTGCATCTTATCCCTGTTCCACAAGAATACAGGATCTGGATTACTTTTGTCAAACAACAACAAAAGCACAAACTCCAAAAAGCAAGATTTTTGTTAGGATTGGAAAAATATACTTGATCATATACAGGACCAATATCTGCAAAAACATTAATAGCTGAACACGATTTTCTGCAGGAAGACCAGGGAAGTAAGTAAGTTGATAAATTAGAGAATATAAACTAATAATTATGAACAGTAAAAATCTATACAGCTGCTGTTGTTGCTGCTGCTGCAAAACTTGCATTCCTTGCAAGATTCTCTTCTAAATATGGGTTGAAAGATTAGGACAAAAGGACTTTCACTCACCAGAGATCTCCGTCTTCAACAGTTTTATCATTTGGAGCTCCAGCATGGCCGTAGTGCAAAACTGAGCTGTTATCGCCACTGAAATAACAATACACATTATGAATGTTATGTGCATTATCAATGTAGAATGAAAAAGTTATTGCATACTAAAAATCTGTAAAAAATATTACATATTGCAAAAAATAAACATACGGTTTATGCCCTTTTCTCCTTTGTCTCAATGTCAAGATTGTCCATTTAACAGATCAAGTTATATAATTCAGGACTAATAATGTCGCCAAGAACTACAAAAGGGCAGGAGGGAAATACCAGAAAACCTTCCTTTAGGTCAGGGTGTCCAAACGGCTGGGGAATTCTGGGAGTTGAAGTCCACAAGTCTTAAAGATCCCACGTTTGGACATCCCTGCTTTAGGTCATGTGGCCAGCATGATGCTGCAGAGCGCTATTTCTCCCAAGTGGTACCTATTTATGTGCTCGCATTGGCATGCTTTCAAACGGCAAGGTGGGTAGGAGCTAGGCCAGAGGTGGGGAATGATGGCCCTTTTCTCCACCCCTGAGCTAGGTGAAGACAGGCGCTCAACCCATTGTGTGACGCTCGGGTCTCCAATCCAGGCTGTGGGATTTTCAGCCAACCAGCTTAGTGTCTTTTTCGATGATTTGTTTGGAGTTTCCACTCCATCAACTGAAGAACTGGGCAAACTCAGTGCATGGAAAGCTGGGATGAAATGAGAGCAATTGAGCCCTGCCAGAGGCTCTTGCTTGGATAAACATTATTAGAGGACCAAATTATGTACTATTATGCTAGGGCTGATTACTTGCCAGAGAATAAACAGGTTGGAAGCGAATGGTCTCGTATGTGAGAGATGGTTGCAGTAACTCTGAGTTACAAAGGCAAAATGCTTGCATGGTACCTGGGACTTAGGACTTCCTCCAAAGACTAGTTTTATCCCAACGGGATAAAATTCCCTGCTGCTTGAGGATGGGAGACACGCCAAATTGGGTGTTAGCCCTAAACATTTTTACACGTGTGAGTAGCTATATATTTAGGAGAATAGGGTGCTGGATTCTGAAGCTGTAAAATCAACACTTTGGGGCAAAACTTATTTTAAGTTGTTCTGTACTTCTTTAAAAAATCTCTGGAAGTCAAATAGCTTCCATAAGAGGGGAAATGTTTGTGCTTGAATCTCCCTGTACATGTTAGTCTTTTATCTACAAGAAGAGCTTTGGTTTCTTAAGAATGCATTCTCCCAACTCCATCAGCACTGTGGTCTTACTCCATGATCCGCATCTAAGAGAAGACCAGGCCTCTAGCCAACCTACTCTGGAGAAGGACTTTTCCACAAAAGACCTCAGTAGCAGTAGTCCCCAGGTGGCGGGGATGTTAAGCGGGAAAGAGACCAATAGCACTTAGACTTATATACCACTTCTCAGTGCTTTACAGCGGTTGACAGAGTCAGCCTATTGTCCCCCAACAATCTGGATCCTCATTTTACCCACCTCGGAAGGATGGAAGGCTGAGTCAACCTTGAGCCTGGTGAGATTCGAACTGCCAAATTGAAGGCAGCTGGCAATCAGGAGAAATAGCCTAAAGTACTGCACTCTAACCACTGTGCCACTCTTGCTTTCAATGTGGCATGGGCCCACTATCTCTGCTTGGACAGGCACACTGAGTAAGCCCACCCCAAATCTGAAGCATTTATTCAACCTTTGTTCAAGGTTGACTCAGCCTTCCAGCCTTCCGAGGTGGGCAAAATGAGGACCCGGATTGTAGGGCTGGCTTTGTAAACTGCTTGGAGAGGGCTGTAAAACACTGTAAAGTGGTATATAAGTCTAAGTGCAATTGCTATTGAATCTGGATACTGCACCATTTTAACCTAATATCTTCTCTGTAAAAATCTTAACAATCTTTCCCAAGAGTTATTGTCAGCCATTTCATTCCCAATTAAATCCAGAGAAAACTAGGAGCCACTTTTTCCCTGCCCTTAAAGAGTTCAACAATAAGAGGGAAATGAATGTTGCTGATTTCACAAGCCGTTAATGAGAAAGCATCACTTGGCCAGTTATAGTACAACAGGCACTTTGGCATCTCAATTAAAGGCAACATTTTCCAGATTGCTTTGATTCTGGACAAAGAGGTTCTAAAACAAAAGGCTTACAGGAAAAAGGTTAAGGAGGTTTTACAAATTATTAGTTTACAGTCTACAAATTAACTTTCCAAGAAAAGTGGGAGAACTTGTGGGCTGCATAAGAGAAACTCCATAGGTTTAATTGCTCCCCAAGATCCACATTTCCTGAACAAACAAGCAAAACGTCTCTGCCACTGTTTTGCTCATGCATTTTTCATCCAGGATCCACTGAGAAATATTATTTTTTGCTGCTTTTTCTGGGTTGGCTTAAAAAAAATCATTTAGATTACCTCCCTAAAGCAAGCACATGTGCGCCCGTCTGCAAGCAGACTATAAATGCCAAGACAATTTAGCAGACAAGGAGTAGTGCAGGGGTAGGCTAATGAAGGGAAAAAAGCCCCGTGCATTTTAGAGAGGAAGTAAACTTTGGAGAATCTGAACTACGCATCCTGGCATAAGAAGGTAGATTCCCCTGACAGACCTAGAATGATCGAAATGTTTAGGAAATAATTCAATACATTAACATTCCAGTAAGGTTTGAGAGTCTGTGAGGTGGACAATTTGGAAGTCAGCTGCAGGATCAATCAGAAGAGAGCTGGAAGGGACCTTGGAGGTTGTAAGGGCTCCTCTCCTAACTTAAGAAAGTGAAGACTCTTGAAATGGAGTATTTCAAAAGGAACCTTTTATTAAGTAGACTGGCAGCCATTGAATTCAAAGCAACGTCTGAATCCCCTTAGGCAACACAAGTAGAATTAAAGTGGTAGAGACCCCTCCCATTAGTTAGAATGCAGATTTTAGCCAATACACAAGTGTGAAAATGTTTCCTTTACCAGCTGCCCTGAGAGCCAAATAANTTGCCCCCAACAATCTGGATCCTGATTTTACCCACTTCAGAAGGATGGAAGGCTGAGTCAACCTTGAGCCTGGTGAGATTCGAACTGCCAAATTGAAGGCAGCTGGCAATCAGGAGAAGTAGCCTAAAGTACTGCACTCTAACCACTGCACCACCACAGACCATTAAAATACCACCAGGATACATGCTCCCACGCCCTGGGATCAGATAAAAAGAGAGGAAGGATTCTTGTGCAGGGGGGAAAAACTTGAGGCTGGCTTTTAGTACAGAATGAAGCTCGCTCCTTGAAAGGTATGAAGCAAGAGTCTGCAGAAGATTTTTCTCCGAAACTAAGCGGTGAATGTCAAGGCTAGTCACCTGAACGAGGTGTTGCTAATTCTCCGCTCATTGCCTTTTTGCTTCCGAGAACAGAAAGTGTTTTGTATATGACGAGCTATGAGTAATGTTTGCAGCTGCTCTTCTTCTCACCTGTTTAAAGAGAGCTCACTGCCTTTTGCTCAGTGGGCTGCGAAAGCTCCGTTAATCAGGCCATTGCTGAGCTGTTCAGTGCCACCAGCATTCATCAGATAAGGGCAGGGGGCTTTCTCCCCCTCTGCTCCCCATTTGTTCCTTTGATACCCTAAAAGCTGCCATGATAACCCATATTTTTTTAATCAAAAAGATCTATGGAAGACTTCCACTGCTTTGATTACTGCAATGAGTTTATATTGTGATTACCAGGTGCTGGTTTTCTCTCTGCAATTAATTTATAGAGAGAATGTTATTTGCTAGTCAGGCCATCAAAGATTTCATGAAGTAGGAGAATCCATTTGCTATAGAAAAAAAGAAACTGACTAGCAGAGGGCTCTCCAATCTTGGCAACTTTAAGAGTTGTGGACTTCAACTCCCAGAATTCCTCAGCCAGCACAGCTCTTAAATTGCAATTTTAAAAAGCTTTTCAGAGAAAGAAAGGTCTAAAAAAGGAGGAAACTTTCAGGGTTTGTTTTTTTTTTTGAGCCATTTGAAGCACATATTCATAGAACCATCACAAACTCTTTCAGCATTCCTCAATCAAGTGGATCAGTACAAGGCCATAGAAAGCATAAGTACAGTTCGAAGAGATTGTTTCTTTATAAAATTGTATATTTTATGTCTGAGCATTTGCCACAGTGTGGTATCTATTGGATCGTTTTGGAAAAGGCCCAGTTGACTTCATGTCTCCAGGCTGACCACTTTGGAGCTAAGATTTACCTACAATGAATGCTGATTGTTCTGAAGAGCTCCTGAATTTTAGTTCCTCTCTGACCCTGGGCTCTGAAGCTGTTTTACTGCTGCTGTCCAAGGAGCTGCCCTCACTAAACTACAAAATGGTCTATTGATGCCATAGAGAGATCTACATATTGTTAGCCCTGCCTCTCTGCTCAAACCTTTAACCAAGAACGATGCTAACTCCATGTAGTCAGAAAGGTATAGTTGACTAAAGATCAAGCAGAACACAGTTAAAATAAAGACAGATCTGAGTTTCCCAAATGTATTTCCTTCTTCCCAAGATTCTCCCTGCCTTTGGTGTCTGGTTGTCCAATCATTCAACCAGGTGTTGCAGGAATGGCCGTCTTTAGTATGCGGCTACGTTCCTTCCCAGACAATTGTCCTTGAAGTTGTATCTCAAGCCAGTGCAGTGAATAGTGAAGCCTTCTTCCTCCTTCCCATTAAACCCTCCCCCCCCCACCCCCTGAGTTCATGACAGACTGGCACCAATCAAAAGTACAACACAGGTGTGAAGTGGCAGTCCTGGCAGATATTACCATGTTTCTTTTGATTTTTGAGCAAATTCCATTTTAAAAAAATACCCACCCCCCCCGAGTATACACTTTATGGTACTATACTACATTTCTTAATTTATAGTATTCACTATGCAACTTTCCCAAAGATGTATTCATGTTACACATTCACTGGTTTTACTGGTATTATACAAAGAGAAGCCCTCAGTTTTTCAAAGGTAGGAGATTTACAACAGGTTTCAGGAAAGAAAGAATAAAGAGAGATAAGGTATGTGATAGTGGAGAATAAAATCCCTCTCTCCCCACTCCCTACCTCCCTCTCTCTCTTTCTCTCTCCCTCCCCCCTCTCCTTCCCTCCTTCCATTTCCCTCCCTCCCTCCCTCTCTCTCTCTCCCTCCCCTTCTCTCCTTCCCTCCTTCCATTTCCCTCCCTCCCTCCCTCTCTCTCTCTCCCTCCCCTTCTCT